CGCACAAGGGTTTGCAAGGACAGCGGCAGTTCTGGCGACAGGTGGTCTGAGGTCAGCGTAGGGAAGTCCGAGCGATTGACCCCATAAGGTGAGAGCCGAGATCCTGCGCACACGGAGCCATGTGAAGCCACAAGCAAACCAAAGGTCGAAGGGTCCAAAGCTGAGAGAGAGGCTTCTGAGCATGCGATGCCATAGAGGAATGGCATAAGGCCGAGTTGCGCATAGCTGTGAGGCAACAAGAAAGGGCCTGTGCTGACAGGGTCTGAAACAGGCATCGTTGCTCCGGATCGGGCCTGGCTAAAGGCAAACAAGCCGGAGCCAAATCTGCCGAAGCACTGCACAAAGAGCGCAGAGCCAGGAGTTATGCGATCTGTTACGGGCGGCAGCAAGTCCAAGTGCATCAGCCCGTAGATTGGCATCGAAGATCCAGGGCACACGTGCGTTTGCGGCAAGAGGCAGGAGCCAGGTTGCACAGAGTCTGAGGCTGGCGGGGAAGGGTCTATCCAAGTCATTCCGTATGCAAGAGGGGGCGCGTCCAAGTGAACGCTCGATCTCGCCGGAAGTGGGGAGCCGGCGCTGACGAGATCAGGGGCTGGCGGCAGCAAGTCGAGCGCTGTGAAGCCATAGGCGAGCGTCGGTAGGCCAAGTTGCACAAAACCTCGGATCGCAAGGGAGGGGCCCACATGCACGAGGTCCAAAGCGAAGAGTGAAGGTTCGAGTCTTGACATGCCATAGGCCAGCAACAAGCTTCCCAGCCACGCAGAGCCTCTTGGCAGGAATGAGCTTCCCGGACTCACATGGTCTGGCAAAGAGGTGGATAAATCCATGAGCGTCATACCAAAGGCAGGCGACACCGAGTCCAACTGGACAAGCGACCGCGTCAGTGGCAAGGCACCGATGTTGCACATATCCAGAAGTGGTAAACTTGAACCGGTTTTCGTGATACCATAGGGGAGTGACGTGAGTCCCAGCTGTGCAGAGCTTCTTAAGAAAGCGGCGAAGCCCAAATTCATGAAATCCAGAACAGGCAGCAATGCCATGCAAGACATACCATACAGCACCGTCATCGGCTCGATTCAGAAAGGGCTTTGGAGCGAGGGCGAAGCATCTGACTGAAGGCAATCCAAAGTCGGCATGGATGCTTCCGATCTGCTGGCGCCACTCATTGGCATGCTGGGGTCAGGCCAAACGAAGCTTCTGAGCAGTGGAGAAAGGCCGAGTCTGAAAAGGTCGAGCGCGGGCATGGGGAGCCCTGGCCAGTTCAAGCCAAACACAAAGAGGCTCGATTCTGACGTCACAAAGCCTTGGAGCAACAAGAGGAATGCAGTGTTCACAGAGTCCGGCACTGGCAGCATAAGGTCCGAACAAGTCATGCCGTAGGCCAGCGAAAAAGATTCTGCAAGTAAAGGGCTGTGCGGCAAAGGTGGTGAGTCCACATTGATCGAATCTGGCAGTGGCGACGGCGGCCCCAGGCAGCTCAGGCCGAAAGCAAACGCAATTGACCCCGTGCAGACGAAGCTTTGTGAGGGAAGAGTCGAACCAACGTGAGCAAGGTCGAGTGAGGAAAGCAAAGAGCCAGGACGGCACAAGCCAGACACAAAAGGAGCACTGTCCATCCAGGCTGGCATTCGCGGTAGCAACAAGGGGCCTGAACAGATATAGTCGGGAACTAGCATGGTCGACCCTACTCGTGCCATTCCGTAGGCAGGCAGGGCAAACCCAGCCCACACGAAGCCCCGCAGCAGCAAAGGGCTCCCAGGGTGCACGAAGTCAGGCGCCAGCAGGGTCAAGCCAAGCCACGCCATGCCATATGAGGACGGGCTGGAACCAAGGTGTAAAAGGTTCCTCGGCGAAGGAAGGATGCCCAAACTCAAGGGGTCTAGCACAAGCAGCATAGACCCCGCCCAGAACATGCCGTACACTGGAGCCAAGAGTCCTGGTCTCATGAAGCTTCGCGAGGGTAGAGGAAAGCCCGAGTGGAGGAGGTCAGGTATTGGTGTCAAAAGCCCTGGCCGCATCATGCCCCACGCCAACAGGCTGGCACCCAACCATGCGAAGCTTTGAGCCGGAACGGAGGAACCCAGGTGGAACCAATCCGGCAGCGGCAGGAGGGACCCAAGGCAGCTCATGCCAAACACCAGCGACACAGAGTCCAGGCACATAGGGGTCTTCGGTGAAAACATCAAGCCCAGGCTGACGGAGTCTGTTGCTGGAGGCAATGCTTCCAAACAGTACATGCCAAATACAAACAGTGCCGGCCCGATGCGCATGCAGCTATGGGGTGACAGCAGAAAGCCAATCACGGCATGGTCGAGAGCAGGCGGCAAACTCTCCGAGCAACTGAGACCGTAGGCGAGGAGCGAGAAGCCCACTTGAACCAGCGACCTCGATGACAACAGCAGCCCAAGAGTTAAGAAATCCGGCACCGAAGACAGCAACTCCAAGCGGCACAGTCCGAACACAGGCATCGGTGGCTCTGCACAGGTGAGTGCCTGAGTTGACAAAGGAGCCTCTGATTGGATCGCATCGGGCAAGACCATGGTAGAGCCCAGCCGGGTCATGCCATAGACTGGAAACGGCAGGCCAATTCGCATGTAAGCGCGCAGGAGCAGCAGTGAACCCAAGTGGGTACAGTCCGATGCCAGTGAGAACGAGCCAAGGCGCATGATGCCAGACACCAGTAGCAGCAAGTCAGTCCAGGAAATTGTTTGTAAGGGCAGTAAAAGCTCCGAGTGCGCAGGGTCAAGTGCCAAAGGCGACAATTCCATGCAGACCAGGCCATAAGCGGGCAACGGAAAGCCAGATCTTGCAAAGCTTTGAAGCGAAGGCGGACTAGCAAAGAGGCAGTAGTCCAACACTGAAAGAAGCATATCGGTGCAGGCCATGCCGTAAACCGGTGGAGAGCTACCAAGTCGCATAAGTGCACGGAGGAGCAGGGAAGGCCCTATGTGGAGGAAGTCCAGAGCAGGCAACAGCAGCTCCATCCACGACAGGCCATAAATGGACAGGGCACTGTCTGTCCGGACGCGAGAACGCAGAGACACGGGTGCTCCCGTTGATCCAGGGTCTGGCACAAGAGTGAACGTCCCCAGCCTTGCACATCCATACACCAGCAAGGTGAGGTCTGGTCGGCCGAGGGCACGCGGTGGAGGGGGAAAGCCCGTGTGCACGAGGTCAAGAACCGAGAAGGGTGCATCCGATCACGCCAGTCCGTAGACCGAAGGAGCAGGCCCCAGTCGCGAGAAGCTTCGGAGACTGAGGCCGCTGCGGAAGTTCGCCAGGTCGTACAAGAACAAGGACTCCCCCGGTCGAACAAAAGCGCTCACCAGCAGAAGAGAGCCAGGCTGGACGTAGTCTGAGGTCAGCGTCATGCTTTCCAAACAAGCCATGCCGTAGGCAGGAAGCATCAAATCCATCTTGCAAGGTGCCTGCAGAGATGCAGCCGGGCCAGTGTTGGCAAGGTCAAGAACAAACAGGATCAGGTCGGGGCAGGTGATGCCATAGAGTAGCAAAGACAGCCCCAGACGTGCATGGCTTCGGACTGAGTAGGCGCTGCCAAAATCATTAGGGCCCAAGACTTTACATCCGGATGCAATGTCCAGGAACCCGGGCAACAACAAGGAGAAGCCTGGCTGAGCAAGTGCCCTCAAAGAAATAAAGAATCCCAACGTCACAAAGTCTGGCACCGACAAAGCCAAGCCCATGCATGCCATGCCATAAGCAGATGCCGGCAACTCAGGCTGTGAGAAAGATCTGGAGGATGTGGAACTTTCTATCCAAACATAGTTGAGGACGGGCACTGGAGCATCGAGGCAAGCTATTCCATAGAGTAGCATCGGTGAGCCACACCAAACGAAGCTGCGCAGCAGTGGTGAGGGACCTAAGTTGAGATGGTCCAGGGCGGGCAAGGACAAGCCCAAGCAAGACATTCCGTAGGTCAATGTCGCTGGCCCAGTATGTAAGGAACTTCGAAAAACCGACAGCAATCCTAAACATCCAAGGTCCGGAGCAGGCGAGAGTGAGCCTAACTGCGCTGCTCCATATAGCAGCAAGCTACTCTCTAGGCGTGTGAGCGTCTTCGACGGCATCGAGGGCTCAGAATATGAAGGATCAGCCACAAGCAGTGGTGCATCCAGCCTGGTCATTCCATATGCCGACATCGGAAGACCTGGCTTGCAGAAAGCGCGCAGAAGCATGAGGGCGCCAGTATGAATTGGATCCAGTGCCGATGACGAGGCCTCTGGCTGTGAGAGCCCGTAGGCCGGTGAGGTGGAGCCTGGCTGGACATGGCTCCTCGAAGGCAAGAAGGGGCCAAAGTGCATGGAGTCAGGGGCCGGCGAGAACTCCTCAAGTCATGAGACGCCAGAGGCAGAAGGCATCAAGTCAGAGCATGCAGGGTACTTCGATGGCAAGAGGAATTCGACCCTCAAGTGATCCAAAGTTGGGGAAGGAGAGCCCGGTCGCTGCAGGCCGAAGGCTGACAAGACCGGCTCTATTCGCATGAAGCCCTGGAGCAGCAACGCCAACCCCATCTGAAGGGAGTCCAGGGCCAAAAGGGATAGACCAAGTGTCTTCAGGCCATAAGCCAACAGAGTCGGCCCGAAGCAAGTGTAGGTCTGCAACGACACAGCCGCACTCAAACAGCCGAAGTCGCAGATAGCTATCGCAGAGTCAAGCCATGCCATGCCGGATGCTGACGGAACCAAGTCCATTCTGCAGAAGCCTCGGGGCAAAAAGATCAGATCAAGGCTCACATGATCCAGGATCAACGTCGGAGACCCCATCCGCGCCAGCCCAGACACAGGCGTGAGGAAGCCCGAGCACATAAAACCTCGCAACAGCAGCAGCAAGCTTGAGCAAATGTAGTCAAGCGAAGGTGAGGCGAAATCGGGCCATGACATGCCACAGGCCAGCATAGTGCTTCCTAAACAAGCGGAGCCTCGTGATGAGGGTGTCAGGCCCAGCTCAACACAGTCCGAAATGGACGAAACTGGGTCCATTCATACCATGCCGTAGGTCGGGAGAGCTAGCCCTGTCTGCATCAGCGTTTGAAGTGGCAGCAAGCTTTCCAGATACGCAGACTCCAAAGCAGGCGACAACAGGCCGGATCGTGTCAGGCCATACACGAGCGGAAGTAAGCCACAATTCGCGAGGGACTGCAGAGAAGGCAAAAGGCCACATTGCACAAGGTCCAGCAACGGTGGCAGCAACTCAGGTCGGGACAAGCCATAGACGAGCAAAAGCAGCCCCAGGCATGAAAGCGATCGTGCAGAAAGCGGGAAGCTTAGCTGAGTGAAGTCAATGGTTGACAGGGTCAGCCCAAGACGAGAGGCCCCGTACACAAAAAGGCTGAGCTCGGTGCAAGCAAAGGACCTGGGAGGGAGCAGTAAGCCTGGATGAAGGAAGTCGAGCACGAGTGCCATGAAGCCTGTTCGCATGACACCATAGATGAAAACAGCCGGGCCAAACCAACTGTGGCTTTTTGGCATCAGCAAGGATCCCAAGGACAAAAAGTCCAGTGCCAGAGACGTCGACCCCAGACGTGTCAGCCCGGAAGCTGTTGGAGCAGAGCCGCAGCACGCGGAGCTCTGCGTCGACGTCAGAAAGCCCGAATGAACGGAGTCCGAGGCCGGCAGCGTAAGCTCCAGGCGCGAGAAGCCATAGACCAATAGCACGAAGCCCAATCGGACGTGGCTCCGCGTCGACAAGGTCAGATCCATGCAGAAGGAATCCAAAATCAATGGGCTAAAGCCGAGGCGCGTGTGCCCGTAGATCAGTGGCACTGGACCTGTGCGGCTGTAAGTCTGCAGTGATGCGGTCGAGCCCGGGTGAATAAAGTCCAAGACCGGAGCCGCCGGGCCCAAACACACCATCCCGTAAACCAAGTAGGCAAACCCCACACATGTCATTGCCTTCGATGATAGCGTCGAACCCGGGACTGTGAAATCAGCTGCCGGCAGGAAAGGCCCAGGTCGCGAAATGCCATAGGGGAAGAGCGCAGGCCCAATACACCCCAAAGACCGCAAAGGCAGCGATGAGCCTGCCGAGATGAGGTCAGGGAGCAATAGCAGGAGTCCAAGTCGAGACAGGCCATAGGCCGGCAACACCAGATCCGAGCATGCGTGTGTTTGGAGAGGCAAAGTGAATCCGAGAGTGAGGAGGTCAACCGTTGACAACAAAAGGTCGGCTCGACACAGCCCAAAGGCCAAGAGGGTCGGACCGAGTCTGAGATGTCCCTGAGGCGGCGTGAAGCTTCCACAGTGGATATGGTCCAGGATTAAGATCGGCAAGCCTGACCTCGTCATGCCGTAGGCGGAAAGAGAAAGGTCGGCGCACATGAGGCCGCGAAGTAGCGGCGCGGAACCGGAACTCATGTAGTCGGAAGCGGGCAAGGATGGCTCCAATTTACAAAAACCAGAAGCAAATGACGACAGCTCGGTGTGCGCAGGACTCTTCAGAAAAGGCAACGGCCCCAAATGCAAAAGGTCAAGGGTAGGCGACAGCAAGTCAGGGCAAGCCACACCGTAGGCAAGAAGCCCCGATCCAGACTGGACAGCACCCCGCAGAAATAAAGAGCTGCCAGGACTTAGAAAGTCGGTGGTCAACGGCAGGGGCTCCAAACGTGCAAGGCCGTAGGCAAAGAGCGAGGCGGCCTTTGCGTAGGATCGGGCAGACAGCACAAGCCCTAAGCGTGCGTGGCACAGAATCGGCAACGATGAACCCAAGCAAGTCACCCCATAAGCAGACAAGGAGGGGTCAGAATGAGCATGATTGCGAGGGGGCAGCACTGAGCCGTATGATGCAAGAGCCATAGCTGACAAGGATGAGCCAGGTCAAACCACTCCGTAAGCCAGCGAAGGTAAGCCCAGCCGCACCAAGGAGCGTGGTGACACAAGGCTACCCAAAGTCAAAGAGTCCGGAACCGATGGAGTCAAGCCCGGCTGAGCAAAGCCATAAAGGGGTGTCAACGGCCCCGACCGGGCTGAGGCCCTTGCCAGCATCAACGGCCCAGGGCTTGCAAAGTCCAGCACAGGCAATGACAAGGCCGAGCAAGCCAGACCATAGGGTAATAGTGACAAGCCCGTGTGCACAGATCCTCGTGGAGATGTGGAGCTGCTGATGGAGGCATAATCCGGGACTGGCAGGAAGGAGCCCGATGTCTGGCAGCCGTACGAAGTCATGGGCGATCCAGGGCACATGGGGCCATGCAGCAGCAGCAATGAGCTCGACTGCACGGAGTCTGGCATCGGCAAGGATGGGCCCGTGCGTACCAGGCCAAAGGCTGGCAGGAAGCTACCCGACCGCGCAAAGCCCGTCAGGAAAAGAGCGCTCCCCGACTCGATGCTGTCGTGGGCGACCATTGCAGGGCCAGGGCGGGACATGCCAAAGGCAAACATCAACGGCCCGGGACGCGAGAATCCCCGGATCGGCGATGGAAGGCCAATATTCACAAGGTCCGAAGTTGATAAACTGAAGTCCAGCCGCGTCGCCCCATAAACCAATGGGTCTGCATCCAGACGGACGTGGCCACGTGGAAACATGGCAGAGTCTGGCATTGCAGGGCTCGGCGCAGGTGGCGGCGAGCCAGTTTGGGTCATTCCGTACGTGGACAGGAAAGAGCCCAGGCATGCAAGACTCATTAGAAGCGAAGGAGCGCCCATCGAAGCGGAGTCCAGGAGCAGGAGAGCCACGTCCAAGCGAGTAAACCCATAGGCAGGCAAGAAAGGACCTGAACAAGCAAGACTTCTCAAAGGAAGGATAGGACCAGTGTTGGCACGATCAGGCATCAGCAAGAAGGCTTCCAGGCGCGTGACTCCGTAGACAGGCATGCTGAGTCCCAGCCTCACAAAGCCTCGCAGAAGCAAGGGAGGCTCGGGATGCAGGGAGTCCGGGGCTGATGTCGAGGGGTCCAGCCGAGTCAGGCCATACAATGCAAGCGTGGGGTCTGAACATGCCAAGCTGTGAGTAAGCGTAGCAGCTCCCACCTGCATAAGGTCTAAAGCTGACATGAAGAAGCCAAGGCGTGCAAGAGCGTAGGCTGAGGTCGAGTGGCCAAAGCATCCGGAGCTGCGGAGCAGCATGGGTAAGCCCATGTTGATGGGGTCAGGCACAGACAGCACCGCACCCAAACAGGTTGTCCCGTATGCAAGCGTGGGTAACCCGAACTGGGCATGACTTCGAAGGAGCGACAGAGGCCCTGGATGAATTAAGTCCATAGTGGACAGCAAGCTTCCCAAATTCGAGAGTCCATACACGGGAAACGTACTGTCAAGACGTGTGAAGCCACGAGGCAAAATGGGCGATTCAGAATGGCTAAGGTCCGGTGCAAACAAGCAAAGTCCTGATCAGCTCATGCCATAAGCTAGCAAAGGACTGTCACAGCGCAAGGGCGTCCGAGGCGAGAATGAGCTCCCGGGGTCTGCAAAATCCAGGGCAAGCAGCGACGAATCCAGTCAGCCTCACCAGGCACGAGGACTAGTGAAGTGTACGTGTAACTCCTATGACTTCCTCCATGCCCAAACAGCATCCAACTCTGCGGCCCAGGAGCTCATGCCATAGGTCAGTAGAGTAAGCCCTGACTTGCTGGGACTCCGAGTCACCGTGGAAGGCCCGGAGTGGCTGAAGCTCAGGGCAGATGATGAGGCGTCCGAACCTAAGGCTCTTGAGGGCTCATTTCGGTTCCTGTAATACTGAGGCCTTTAAGAGCACTTTTTTGCGGCTTCTGGGTCGGGAGTGGGGAGGGGGGTTGGGGGAGCTGTGACGTGCAAATCCGTGCAACCATGCGGCCTTTCAGACTTATCATGCGTCACAAGCCTACCTGACACTCCGAGGCCCCTATGCCTGTTTATTCGGGGAAGTCACCTGCAAGTACCCCACTCAAGCAACGACCCTCAAGAAACAGAACGATTGGAAGCTACGAAGCCCAAAGCAGCAAAAAGCGCAAGCCGAAACATCAGTTGCTGAGGTGAGTCGAACAGTTGATGTTTGTTTGTTTGCACCAGGCAGCAATAGATCCAATCTGCACCCGTAGACAGAAACGGGCTCAGAACGGCTACGCATTTGTGAAACAGGCGGCAAGGAGAGCCTGTAGGTTGCGATGCTATTGGGAAACTAGGACCAAAAGATGCAACCGTGCCCCCAATGTCGTGACCAGCCTTCAACCCTCCCGAAACAGTGAAACCCCCACACTGCTGGGCTGCCCGGCGCGCCATCTCCGTCTGAAATGCCGAGCTCCCGAACCGCGTAAAGCTGGCCACGGCCAGGGAACTCCCCAAGGAGGTGAAGTCCTGGTCTCATTGATCAAACAACTCTTCTTCTTTATGTTGCTCTTGCTTTGCTTGCTTTGATGTTTGGTCTACTGGGGACTTCGGATTGGGGGTTGGGGGCTTGTGCTCAGAACTAGGTCTCGGCCAATGTTTCCGTTCAAGGGCCCACATCTACAGGAAACGAAGAGACCTTCTTCGAAGCTGCCAGCGCAGTGATTTGTTGCTGTATTTGCAAACTGCTCGCAGCCTGGAGTCCGCAGGAGCCAACGCAGGCATGCGCACTCAGTAGCTCTGGGAGAATTTGGGAGCCTTCAGGCACAGACCCTAGCAACGAAAGAAGCGAACAAATTTGGACTAAGGTCGTCGGGCGAGCGCCCTAAGGCACGTTACTCTAAGGCTCTAAACTAAGGCTCTAAAGCACACCTCCCCAAGATGATGTGTCGAAAGGTAGAAGGCGCATCGCAGGCCAGAAGACACATGAAACATAGCTAAAAACCGAAGGAGACGCTCTTGCAAAACCACATGCTTAAAGAAGCAAAACTTCACGAGTCAAGTTGATTCTTCGGTTGAACAAACAGCGCAATACGGCTTGTAAATATGAATGTTTGAGCTGTTGCTCTTATTGCAGTATGCGGCTCTATGCGTTTCTATGTTTGGGTCCGTGGAACATGGACTTTCGTGCACCCTTGCTGCCTAGGCAAAAATGCCAGGCGCAAAGTAGCCAAGATGACTCACACATCCAATCCCGCGGAACGCCTCATGTGCGCTATGCCTTAGGGCAGGGGCCCAATAGCTGGTTTCGGCTGTAAGTTCCGTTTGTCACAAGCTGTTCTGCTGTAGTAGGCGTGTGTAGAGCCAGCAAGAATATCTGCACACTGCATGCACCAACTGAAGGCCTCCAATTCATCCCTGGAAACACCGGAGCCAGTCCCTGATGACCAGAGTGTTGTCTGATTGCACCACGCCGTAGGCGAACAGCAAGAATCCTGTCAAGCGCAGTTCCAGTCTTTCAGGTTCCGCCAGTTCTGCAAAGAGTCCACCAGCCAAAACGTCACACCGTCATACCCTTTGACACAAGATCCGCAAGAAGCCGAGCAGGGCACTGAGATGGTGCAAGACTCGCCTAAATGCGTGAAGGACGTCACAGAGAGTGAGTCCCCGAACTGAATTTTGTTGAGCAAGGAGAACCCATGACCTTGGACGGAAAAGCGGCATTGTTGAGACTGGCATCTCGTCTCTCATTCATTCTCTCTCCAACCGGAGACATCTTCCTAACACAGGCTCGACCTGGGACTTAGTTTTGCCCATTGTGGGCCTCCGGACAAAAAAGCAAGAAGCTCGACTGCCTCAATCCCATCCCTAATCCTGAGGTCTTGGACCATACAGCACGGTGTCACCAAAAATCTCCATGGAGCTGCCGAAGGTGACCTGACCAGGTGTGTTAAAGATCAGAACTCCCGGCTGCGCTTGCCGCGGCTTGCCTTCACGATGCACCTGGTATTGATCCGCTATTTCGCCGGGGGTTCTTTTTTGCTTCACGAAAAAAAGTCTCACGGCATGTGTCTATACAATTGTCTCCACGTGTTCTTGATGTGGCTGGATGCTATGTGCTGCGACGGCCGTCTGGGATGGTTGTCTCCCATGTGTCTGCTTTTGTCTGCCGTTTGTCCCCCATTTGTTCCCCAAACAGGTTTTGATTTGTTCAAAGAAGGGGTTTCTGCGACGCGCATGTGGATGTCTCACGGCACTAGTCTCACGGCACTAGTCAAAAAAACTGATTTGCTACACTGGTCTGGGACTGTTGTCTCGCGGCAAGACCCTAAAGGGCTGTCTCGAATTTGTCTCCTTTTCATTGTCAAGCGAGCAGATTCTTGATGGCGCGACGCCTCTCTGGTACTGTTGTCTCCCGCCGTTGCCTCTCGTTTCTCTCCCACTTGTCTCCCATTTGTCTCCCATCTGTTTTCTCTTTGTCCGGGCCCTGGATGCCGTCATGCGCATGAAGGCCTGCTGGCCCCCCAACCTCCCATTTATCTTCCATTTCTCTCCGCGCGTAAAGCGAGTAGAGCCACGCCCATCTGCGACAGTTCTCTCCCAGTTGTCTCCCTTTGTGGGGATGCTGCAACGTCTGGGACCGTTGCCTCCCGTGTGTCTCCCATTGGTCTCGAACCTGCATGCTGTGACGCCCGTGTCTGGGACTGTTGTCTCTCATTTGTCTCCCTTTTTCAAAGGAGCAGACCCTGTGTGCTGTGATGCCCGTCTGGGACTGGGGAGGGGAGGTTCTTCATTTTGTTTAAGGAAAGGTTTCTGTGGCGCGGCACTATGAATGTTGTCTCTCGTTTGCGACTCTCCGTCTCCCTTTTGTCTCCCACTTCTGTGGCCCAAGGCACCCGGTATGTTCTTTGACAAGCCGCAGGGCTGCTCCCATTGTCTGCCAATTCCTGTGAAGAGAACAGGCCCTGGATGACGCCTTTTTGGGACTCTTTGCCTCTCAGGTTGGGGTCGAGGCTGATAGAATCAAAGAAGCAATGTGAAGATTGCGCTGCACTCTTGACTATCACCCATGCCCGCCGCTCCAAGCTGGATGGGCGTAGCTACCCAAGCCTTTGGATATGCATGAGGCGCGAAACGTGGCTCACACCTGTGTTGTGGTGTTTGGACTTTGAGATCCCAAACGTGTTGTGTGATCTTCAAGCTGGTAGCGGAGCCCCAAACCAGGAGCAAGCTGTGCAACGCCGAAAGCTGCCGGCAAACACGCTGCTCAACAGAGCATTAGAGCCAGTACTGGTGTGATCGCGTGATTCCGATTCACTAGTTGATGCTGAACCAGGCTGACACGAAGGCGAGTGGGAGACTGAACGCTCCGCTGGCTGCACCGGCAAGCCCACAATTCTTGCATAAAGCACATGAAGTACCACGCTGCCTTTCTTCCATGCCACCAGCCCCGGCAATCCCCAGTACACGGGAGCTGTTGCTGAGGTTCATGCCCTGTCCAGGATGGACAAGGTGGACCCACAGATGGTGTGTCCTCCCACCCGGAGCGTGCGACCTAGGTACGTTGCAAGATGGTCAAAAAGACTACAGAGGTCGCTGGGCAGGCACATACACACACACCCACGCACGCACGCACGCACGGCACGCACGCATACACGCACACGCGCACGCGCACACGCGCACACGCACACACACGCGTGCACGCGCGCACACACGCACGCGCGCACACACACACGCACACAAGGGCAATGTGAAAGTGACCCAAACTAGAGGCTGCCCAATCCGAGCTGTGATGTTCAAGTTGATGCTGCAGCGCTAGACTCAGAACCGCCTAGCCGCTCTGTGCCTGTCAGACATGGTCAGTGTGACATATTGTGACATCGTGGGCATGACGACTCAGTAGCATCCGTAGCCTCTATGCGCGGCCTCTGCGATGCACGGGACGACAGACAGCATTGGGCGCGAGGCCTAATTGTGCATCGCTGTACCTCAGCAGTATAGCAATGATCCGCTTCGTTTGCTTCTTGCGTAGTCAGTAAACCCCTTCGGTAGGCAACAGTAAACGCAGCTCGCTCTCCCAGTCTTGGCTCGTCACACCGACAATGTGCCGCCGAGGTGGGCGGCATCGAATGCCGAGACCGTGCTGTTCATTACTACCTACAGCACAACACGCGAGCTCAGCGCTTTTTTGAGAAAACTGTGTAGATCACACCTGTCAGGCGAGGTGCATATCAAACCTCTGGAACTACCTG